ACAGGTCAGTAACTAGTTAAACCGCTCGCCACACAGGTCAGTAACTAGTTAAACCGCTCGCCACACAGGTCAGTAACTAGTTAAACTGCTCGTCACACAGGTCAGTAACTAGTGAAATAGTCATACAGTTAACCTCTCATTGAACAGGTCAGTCACTAACCTGTTACCCCCCCCAGGCGATGCCGACTCTGATCGAGCTAATGAAGGACCCCAGTGTGGTGGTGAGGGACACCACGGCGTGGACGGTGGGGAGGATCTGTGAGCTGCTACCTGAAGCCGCCATCAATGAGGTGTACCTGGCCCCCCTGCTGCAGTGTCTGATCGAAGGCCTGGGGGCGGAGCCAAGAGTGGCCTCCAACGTGTGCTGGGTGAGCTGTGAGGTCATGTGACACATGACGGGTTAATTGAATGTGTCTGGACACTTACAGGTCATGCTTTCTTTCATGCTGCTCGTCACCAACACAACTCTAACTTCCTGTTTGCTACTTCCTGTCAGGCCTTCTCGTCTCTGGCTGAAGCAGCTTATGAAGCCACAGACGCTGCAGAGGACCAGGAGGAGCCCAGCACCTACTGTCTGTCCTCGTCCTTCGAAATCATCGTCCAGAAACTCCTCGAGACCACAGACAGGTAGTTAACCCTACGCTACCCTGACACTAACCCTACCCCTGACCTGACACCAGCCCTATGTTAGCCTGGCGCTAACCCTACATTAGCCTGATGGTAGCCCTATGTTAGCCTGACAGTTACCCTACGTTAGCCTGGCGCTAACCCTACATTAGCCTGGCGTTAACTGGACTGTAGAGGAAAACGTGACCCACAACATAACTGATCTGTAAATCAGTTAGTTGTGTTCTTCTTAGTAAAGATAACTTTGTTTTTCTCTCATGCCAGAAAATGGCGAACATGTTGATTTGATTGATTGATTGATTGATTGACTGATTGATTGATTGGGGACCGTGTTTAGCAACAGAACATTATATCACAACATCAGTTCACATACTCTGACACAGCTCGTACAGAAACAGTCTGAGGATCAGAACTTCACCAACACGACTTTAAACTAAAACATCAGGATTTAATCTGAGCTGAAGGTGAAACTTATCTCTACTCTGCTACAGAGCCTGACTCAGACACTGAGGCTTTTAATTTTGATTAGTTATTGATCTGATATTAAGGGAAGTTAAACAGGAGGATGTGACATCATCAGCTGGAGGAAATAAAACTCTTATGTTCTCTGACTTCTCTGTTCCTGGACATTTTGACTGCAAACAGACTGGAGCTGCAACGATTAGACAATGAAAATAACCGTTAGTTGCAGTCCCAAAATAGAATCATGGTCACAGTAACTGAACATACATGTAAACCTTGTTGCTAGAGTGATGATGATGATGATGATGATGTTTCTTGTGCAGACCTGACGGTCACCAGAACAACCTGCGCTCTGCAGCCTACGAGGCTCTGATGGAGATCGTGAAGAACAGTGCAAAGGACTGTTACCCTGCAGTCCAGAAGACCACACTGGTCATCATGGAGAGACTGCAGCAGGTCCTACAGATGGAGGTGAGACACCTGGGGAGGGCGGAGGAGGGCGGAGGAGGGATCAGTGGTTTACTGTCAGATCAGAAAATCACATTTCCTCTCAGTGGACACAGAAAGACTTTGTCTGACGGCTTAGAGAGACAGACTTAGGTAACTGATGTCAGATTATGTTTCAATCACATTTCAGTTTAACTACAGAGTTTATGTTGAGTTTATTCTGAAGTTTTCAAACAGGAAGTCAAAACTTCTTCACTAAAAAAACATTAAACACACGACCAAATGAAAACACATCTGTTCACAGCAAATTAAATCAACAAAAATGTGAACCAGGTCACGTAGCCGTGTTCCTTCTGGCAGGGGGAAATTAAGCCTTTTGGCTACAATTGGGTGCATTTACATTTTGTTTTTAAAATGTTCATTAATGTACATTGTCCCTCTACAACAAATAAAGATAAATTAAATTAAACAATACAGTTTCTTTTAGATTTGAAAATGTAGCCGCAGCTTCTGCTTCTTCCTGTGTAATGATGTCACTTCCTGTGTCTCCAGTCTCACATTCAGAGCACCTCAGACAGAATCCAGTTCAACGACCTGCAGTCGCTGCTGTGTGCCACTCTACAGGTGAGAGCACACACCTGGCACTCTGTCACGCTCTTACTTTGGTGAAGTCAGAGGCCTCGTGTTCACGCTCTTATTGTGACATTGTGAGTGTTTCCTGTTTGTGTTGTTGCAGAACGTCCTGCGTAAAGTGCAGCATCAGGACGCCCTGCAGATCTCAGACGTGGTGATGGCGTCTCTGCTGCGGATGTTTCAGAGCACCGCCGGCTCCGGGGGCGTCCAGGAAGACGCTCTGATGGCCGTGTCCACGCTGGTGGAAGGTACACACTCTGAAACACACACACACACACACACACACACACACGGTAGAGACTTGTGTTGTTGCTGACTGTGTGTGTGTGTGTGTGTGTGTGTGTGTGTGTGT